TTGTAACTATTCCACCAGAAAAAGTACATATTTTTAGATCTGGGGAATATGCAGACCAAAAATAAACTAGTTTTATAACAGCTCTCCCAACTTTCCATAGTCAAAATGTTCAAGAGCCTGAAATGGCACCTCTTTATCTATTCCCTTGCTATGCATTTTCAGTTTGTTATTCTGCAATTTATATGTCCAATCAACTCTTGCCAAATGTGGATTTCTTCCTTAGTAAACATCTGTTAAAAGTTAGGTGTGCGCATTATAGCTTTCATATATGGAGCAATACCTTTATTGTTATATAGTATATTCTTTTCTATACTGCTATACTTTCTATCCTTCTTCAAGACATAATATGGTTAGCAGGTTGGGTTTTTCAGTTATTTGACTAGGTTGATGGGGTTTGAATGTTCTGGATAATGGAGAGAGGGATAAATTATGTTCTTAAGATAGTTTCATTTTGGTGGGGTGGGTGGGAATGGAGTGACAGGATTGGGTGTCTAAAGAAATAATAAGGCAAGGAATGGAATTTAGAGAAAAGAATTCTATGACATTCAGTAACCCTGGGAGATTCATACTGTTCTTGTTTAGGCCCCAAAATATACAAAATCAGTAACTTGATCCCAGAACCAATTTTAAGATTTATGTGTGTATTGTTAATAAATCATTAGCATCTGGATGTAAATAATTGAACAAAAATTATTTATGGCACATTGTATAGTAGGAGATGAATGCAGGACATGACATGTATTCAAAACTTTTGTAGAGCCCTACTTTAATAGTCAACAGACTGAATATGGCTATTTGGAAAGTATTCATGGTCTTTCTTCTCTTCACCCCTGCCCCCCCCCCCCCCCCCCAAAAAAAAAATCCTTCTCAAAATGGCTTAGATGGAAAACTCTCTTGGCTGGATTTCCTCAGCAATTGGGAGTTAAATCTTCAGTTTGATGGGGCCCTTGGGTTAAGAAGCAAAGCCAGGATTTTTTATTTTTATTTATTTATTTATTTTTTGTTCTCAATGATATCCTGGATGACCTGTTCACTATCATTTATTTTGCTGTTTGGCAAAGCGAGGAACTAATAATGCAGACAGACACATAATAAGTTTTTGTACGTTTTGTATTTCACAAGATGCTCAAACCACATTATGAATTGTATATACGGTATCTGTTTGTCTTGGTTTGTTAGGGCCTAAAAACATCAGCCAAAATTCATGGTTTTGTGTTGCCAACCACAATTTTGCCTAATTGTGGAACATAGCTGAGTGCTACTGTTGTAGGAAACATTATATGGATCTGGTGCATTATCTAAAACAGAATGCTTTTGTTAATTGCTTTGTGTCAGGTTCTTGCTCATTTGATTTTTGTCTAAATCTTATTTCTTCTGCTCTGTCTGTAAGACCCAAAAACATATTATGTATGGAGCTTATGAGCAAACAGTTGTGCTTCTAAACTTTGTTCAATAAAAACAAAAGCTAAACAACATTAGAAATATTTAGCATCTTGTTGAAGGAGCCTGTTTTAGAGATCAGCATTTGAAGAAGAAAAAAACTAGGCCAAATCCAGCCTCAGATAATTAGAATGTGTTGTTCATGCTGTTGAGTTTAATATCAGCCTCAGGTGGGAAATTCTAGCGATATCCACAGAAGATGATTCAAGACAGATCTATCAATACAACTTAGTTTGTCCTATCTCAAGGGTAGTGTTTCTCAACTTTGGAAATTTTAATGAGTGTAAACTTCAGCTTCTATGCTGGCTGGAGAATTTTGGGAGTTGAAGTCCACATCTTTTATAGTTGCCAAAGTTGAGAAATAGAGTTGAGAAATGCTACTCTAGTGGTACCACCAAAGTGAGCCAGGAGAATAGCTGAACCTAAGGTAGAATGAGTGTGGGACGACTCCTGTCCATATGCTACTGTACATCAAATTTTGCTTTCTTCTGGTTGACATTAGTGGCCCCAATTATAATTTTGGATTTCTCCTTGAGTTCTATGGATTTATGCTGCCCAAAGTCACCGTTATACAAGCTGGACATCCACATACATTTTCTAAATTTTCTTTTAAAAATGTGTAGTTGGATTTATAATTCTGTGACAATCATCTTAAACAGCTTTCTTCAAGGTAATTTGGAGTTCCTGGTGTACTGAGGTACAATTTCCATGAGTGACCATTTTGGGTTGAGATTATTAGAATTAATTGTGGTCCAACACATCTGGAAAGCAACAGATTAAGCAGGCTGCTTTAAAGATGCAACGGACTAGTTTTTATCCAGCCAGTGAGGAGTTCTCTTAAAACATAATGTTTGAATTTTGTGATTTGAAGATAGAAACTTCTCAGACTTACAACTCATTTTTTCGTCTCCCATGCTTTTCTGAACAGCTGTCTCAATATGGGCATTGTAATTTGATATATTTTACTCTGCATTATTAGCATGGTTTTGTAATGGCTGTTTTGAAAAACAAATCTATGCTGTGAATTAATCTGGAGTCCTTCACACTAGCAAGGTGCTTCACTATTTCAAAACCTTAGAATTTACTTTTATAATGACACTGTGTGTGTGAATGTGTGTTTGTGTGGGATTTCAGGCCCAAAGTTATATAAAGCTAATAGGGTTTGTTGATTGTTTTCTTAATCATTTTCCAATATTTGTGCCCTAGTCAGTTCTTTGTAATATAAATTACTCTGCCAGAATAATAGGCATGAGCCCTCAGTCTGTTTTTGTAATTTGGTTGCTGTGGTAATAATATTCAGCCTTCCACAACCCTGGCATCTCCAAGGAGACCAAAATTGTTGCTGTCTTTACCAACTTGATATTGTCTGTGTTTGTAGAACATTTCTGAAAGCAATTCTTAATTGTATAAATTTGTGTCCTTTCTAGGAAAAAAAAGAGAGAACTTTCTAAAGGCATGGCCATAATGCTGAACTTGCATTTACCTTTTGATTTAGTACTGGCAAATGGATTTTTTTAAAAAAATTATGAACTTTCCGGGAGAAAAGAGTTTCAGAATATAGATTGATGGATTGTGTGATTTGATGTTTCTTATATAAAAAACAGACTGGGTATAGAAAACTAGAGTTATGAAAAATAATTCTAATCTTTTCTTTGGCACATAACTTTTCTACGTGCGAAAGCCTATTTAAGTGGTAGACAAACATGAGATTTTTCTATCCAAATTTTGAAATATTATAGTCCAAGGTACACTTTATCACAATTTTTGCTTAAAAGTGACTTTTAATTATCTTGCCTTTATTGGCATAATCCTGACTCATTATGTTGTTTTATGCCTCATGTACTCTCAAATCTATCCTTGTCCTTAGCCTTTTCACTTTATCTGTTGATTGTGTCCTATTTTATTTGGTATATCTTTAATTCTTTAACAAAGTTAAGAGGGAAGTTGAATAATAATAAAAAAATCTTGTTTACACAGGCCCTTGAAGGAAACATGCCGCTATGTGGGGGTTAGTATGTCCTTTATTCCAAACATTGATAAGGCGAACCAAATCTCCAAAACAAAACGAACATATCTCCTGATTTACAAACAGGGAGAGCTTTTATGATAATTGCTAGGATGGAAGATTTTTGTACCCTTGAACCTGTCTCCTTCACAATTGGGCCACAGACTATCATTCACAGATGCAAAGAACTCTTTTCTGATGGTTCTTTTAATTAGCAGCCCCCCACTTACAATTTTCTATGTTATGTCTAGCTTTCCTCAATACGGACTTTCCAGCGGCCAGCCCACGCTGATATCCTCCTCTTGTGCCCTGAACAGGGTCAGAAGATCCACGTGCTTCTTCATTCTATAGGAATTTATAATATCAAAGACTGCAAATTCAAGGAAACTTTCTGAAAATCAACTAGTACAACCTATGGAACCAGGTTGCAAACTGAAAGGGCATTGTTTCCCTGGCACTTTTGTGCTGCGTGGATTTCAACTCCCAGAATTCCACAGGCAGCAAGGTTGAGAAATATTTCTATAGAGCAAGGGTCTTCAAATTTGGCAAATTTAAAACTTGTGGACTTCAACTCCCAGAATTCCTGAGCTAACATGACTGGAGGAGAAATTCTGGGAGTTGAAGTCCAAAAGTCTTAAAGCTGTCAAGTTTGAAGACCCCTGCTGTAGAGTCTGGAATGTTTTCGGAATGCTGCATTGCTTCTTCTTTTCCTTTCTTTTTCATCATATTATGTTATTGATATTTGCATGACACAATGTTGTAATGACGAGGCAGTTGATTTTTAAGTCCTATTTTGCTGGGTCAAAGGGCGACTAAGGTGTTAGTGTCTTTGCTATTGCTGCTCATTATAATTAGCAGGTTGGGTGATTTCAAACAAGGATGTTCTTGCCAGCCCTGGTCCTTGAGTAGAACTATACCCAGGATGTAAAAACTATGATTTGGAAGTGTCAGGTTTAATTTTTAACTCAGTCATGAGCTAAATGTGTTCTTAAATGTACTACTCACCTTCATGCCCCCCCCCCCCCCCAGCTCAGCCTTTATCTTAGAAAATTCCCTGAGGGATGGTGCAATTTTATTTAGCAAGATACTTTCAGGGGCTTCTCCTTGGGAATAGCACATCCTTCACTTCTATCCTGTTGCTCTTCACATTCCCTTACTTGCATGTCTAATCTTGCCACTGTTGAAAGGAGGAGGAGGACTGGAGAGAGGAAGACACAAAGAAAGTATTTCTTCTTCCCCATTCTTCTATCCCTATCTTCTTGTCTGGAAAAGACATAAGCCTCAGTTCAGCACATGCCAAATGATGCTAGCCTTGACATTTCATTCATCAGTTAAGTAACCCTTAAGTGCTGTTGACTTTGAGATTTGGCCTCACTCTTTCTGTAGAAAATAGAAAAAATATTTCAAATCTGTGAGCAAGTCTATGTGCAAGTTACTAGGTGGCCCCTGAAGTAATTAAGCCCCTACAGCAGAAGTGCTTATTATTATTAATTTATTGCTCAGTTGGATCAAGTGGTAATTGTAGTGTCTTGAGTTATTTGTTTATATCTTACAGGTTGTTTTGCATTTGAATCCAATTGCTTCAATGCATATTCATCAGAAACCATTGGTGTTCCTCCTGAACTCACCTGTGCCTCTATCATGGAAAGTGAAAACAGAAAGACTTGCTTTGGGGATTCAGAGATTTTTCATTGTAAGTATTTGAAATATCCTGACCTTGTGTAATAATGTTTCGAATGCAACTGATGTATATGGACAGAGAAAAATAAATGCTAATTAGCTCTCACATTTCAGCAAAAATCTCTTAGGAGCCGTGTTGGGCTTATTTGAATTTTTGTGTAACATGGGTGGTGAGAGAGGGAGGTTATAGGATTGCCCTTACTGTGTGATTATTCACTACAGTAGGCTTCCTGCTTTGATCAACTGTGGCACCTCTGACAGATCACTAGCTTTAGAAGATGCAGTAGCCGTAATATCAAAGGTCAAGAGCACTGCAAGAAATTAGTAAGAAACTTGCTTGCTGTGTGGTCTGCCAGCAAAACTCCTGTTGAGTTGAGCCCCTTGTGATCAGGAGAAAGTTTGAGCTGAGGTTTTGGTAAAGGCATAAGCTTAAGTCCAGCATGAAACCCTGGCATGCTTCTGAAGAACAGTCCATCAGTCACCTACTATTTAATAAATTACACACATTGACCATTGGCCAGGATGTGCTGTTAGTAGAGCTGACCAGATGGGTTGTTTGGGTTGAATTTTTAGGCTATGATATCATGTCTCATGATGACTCCTTTACAACTTCATTATTTAACATCCCAATTTCTGAAACAAACATTATTTAATGGCTTATTCAAGAGTTATACAAATTCCAAATAATCTCTGGAAAATGTCACATCTGGCACCTGGAGGGACATTCTCCCAAATAATGAATATAATATTGTATGACAGTTTTACAAAAGCGTGTTGCCAGCAAGGAATCAATCTTTCTTGGTTTATAAAAGAATTTTTTTTAAATAGCAAAACTATTAAAGAAAACTCCAAAAACTATTATATGTACTTACCCGAATATGATATGTCTCTATGATACATATGATATGTCTCTTTGATATATAGTATGCTTTTCCCCCCTGTGCTTCTAAACTAAAATACATACTTTTGGTGCACAGTTGTTGAGCTGAGAAATAGTGGGAAACAGTCTTTAGTGAACTTACCATAGTGAATGAATGTGCCAGTCCATAAAGTATTCTGTTTTGTTGGACAACACATTGCTTAAAAAGAAATCCCTAATTTTCATTGTGATTTTTCAGTGGGGGAAAACTATATTGTGATGTCTCTTCCATCCAAATCTCATAGAAAGTATTTTGGATAAGTTTAATTAAACTGAAAAACTGTGTGAGGAATAGACACAGCTCTACAGAATGTGACCTAAAATATAAGAGATAAATCACATGGATTAATTTTCCTGAAGTCATACAATGTTATATGAAGGAGTGGAATCATCCAATAATATGTTTTTCTACATCAAAAACTCCCTGAAGTATCCTTTTTTATATAACCTTGAGTGGAAAGGGCAATTCCACCTGCTATAGTCTTCCAATTTGGAATTTATTGATGTAATTCCAGCATAAATTTATGAATGGATGAAGAGTTTTACCCTCTCTCATTTTCTGTGTTTGCAGGAAGATTGAATTCACCTGCCATTAAAACATTAAAATGGTGCCTCCTATTCATTGAAAAAGAAAGACTCTCAATCATGACATATATTTACCATGATTTTAGTTTGACTTAGATTGCTCTCTGACCACATGATTTTCAGAGGTTCTTAATTGGTTGCCAACATTTATTTATTTATTATTTTAATACTTTTCCCTGATTGGCAAGTTGACAGATCCTTCACTAAGCAGTAAAATTATAACAAATAAGTGAAGAGAGATTTATAACAAAGTGAGATGTGGCAGAGGAAGAAGGAAAAAACAATATATTTGTAGCCAAAAAGGTAAAATTGAATGAAACATACATTTTCCAATGCCTTCCTTCATAACAGAGAGAACTTATTTTCATGCCACCAATTTAGCCTTTTCCGCCCCCATCACATCAATTTTACTGACCCCTGCTGTGGAACAGGTTTTTCTTTATATCACCCAACAAAATATGTAGTGGGGCTTTTTGCTAAGAAAATAGCCAAAAAGGAGAAGATCAAACAATCTTTTTCTCATCCTCATTTTGTTTTACAGTGGCTGCGTTTTTTTTTCAAAATAAAGATCCAATAAAAGAATTATAAAACATATGCATATATTTACCCAATTTCTGGGTCTCCCAACCCAAAAGATGACTCTGGATGGCTTCACAAAATTATAAATTGTTAAAAGCAAAATAAAAGACCAATTCTTCCATATCATGCCTAAAGTAAAAAGGACCTGCCAGAAACCCTAATCCAGAGTATATCTGCATGCTGGCTAGGGAATTCTGGGAGTTGAAGTCAATTTAAAAAAGGAGTTTGAATTTACTATATTTTAAGAGGTTAATCCTATTTGCACTGAAAAGCAGATAGGTAAGTTTCTCCCCTTCACAGCTTCTAACTTATTAGCAAATAAATTATGCTCACCTATACTAATGGACTAATTTAATAGCGGGACTAAATCACTGTGAAAGATTGCTATCTTTAGTTACGTGCATCAAATATTCTTGAAAGTGAATTGAACAGAAGCTGGAAGACAATCAAAAGGAAGCTGCAGTTCAATATGTCTAATGGTGCATAGCTCTGTGTTAAAATGAATAGACTGTGCTGTAAATTAATTCATGTAATGGATATTATGTTTCATAACATACTAGCACCTGAGCTACATTAATCTGAGCATGGAATCTCCTGGGTCTTAAAACTCAATTCCTCTTGAAAGCAAAACTTGGATCATTTAATTGGGTTATTTATGGTCTTTCTACAGTAAAGTTTTATAACTGGAGTTGTCATGATTATATCAAACATATTTTGCCGCCTTATAGGAATCAAACTTCCCTTTGGTAAGATACCTGGATTTTATCCCTTCCTTCTTTGTTTTTTAATAACTGCTTCAGCTGAATTGATCAAATAAGTAGAAAGAATAATTCCTATTCCTTACCAATTGTATATAAAAATAAGCTAGTTTTGATTGATTTTATATTGTGAACATGCTAGATCATTCTTTCCATGTGCAATTATCTAGCTCAAACTATCCTAAGTTTTCCTCAGTTCATTGATGGTCGTGAATTCTTTTTTCCTTGAAGTTCTACAGTTCCTTTTATTTATTCTTTGGATTGTATTTGTTTTTTCCTCAAGTTTTTCCATGAGTGAAGAATTACTGAATAATAGGAGTGTGATAGTTAATGTTAGCTTTAAGATTTTATTTTCCATCTTTATTACTCAAAGTGGCAAACATGCACAAAGCTCTTTCCTTCTCCTATTTTCCCCACAAATACCCCCGTTGAGGGTTGGGTTGAGAGAAAGTGACTAGCCCAAAGTCACCCAGCCAGCTTCAATGCCTAAGACTTGACTAGAACTCACAGTCTCCTGCTTCTTGCCTGAGGCCTTCACCACTAGATCAGACTGGTCCTGAAGAACTACAGCTTCTAGCAGCCATGCTCAGCCATGCTAACTAGGAATAGTACCTTTTGCGGGACTGCAGCTTTCGATCCCCAATGGACAAACTTTGTACACAAACCCAGTTTAAATGAGAGAAGGCCAAATTAATACTTCACTTTCAGTCCTCATAACCTCATCAATCCTGTTAGTAGCATAATGGGAAAATTCATAGTTGGATCAATTAGGAAAGGGAAGAAATGAAATTTCATTATAGGATAATGTTCTACCTTCCCATCTTAATTCTCCACAAATCCTGCACTGTATGGAGTTTCAGTTAAAAAGAAATCCATAGAAGAGAAAAGCTAGACAATTATACCTGTGTCTTCAAAGGTATGTGAGATATCTGGCTTATGGTACAAAGCAGTTTTTTTAGCAGAGCTTTTTAAATCTAGGGATACTTAAAACTCCCACTGGTGGTGGGAGGTCCTCCCTCCCCCCCACCTCTCTCTCTCTCTCTTCCTCTCTCTCTTTTAAGTATCTCCAAGCTATAGAACCGTTTTAGACGGAAAGGGCAATTGCCCCCTACTTTGGCTAATTCCCCCCTCCCTCTCCTCTGTCCTCCCACCCTTCTTTTTCAAGCTAGTTTCCACAAGAAGATATTGGCAGGAGGCCATTTTTTAATGTTTTATTTTTGTGTGAAAGAGGTGGCCTTTGCAGGTGCTGCTCAGCTGGTGGAAACTTTTGCTTCAAGTGGTGGGCCCTTTGACTTTCATGGCTCCAGATCTTTCCTGCTGGGCTGAAGCTGGTTGTTATGGAAACTACAATGAAACTTCCTTAGATGCCTCATTCTGTGGTTGCATGGCATTGTAGGTTTAAATAGTCAATTAAGATCATGTGTAATAGTCTTAGATTACTATGTTAAACAGTTTTGGCCACAATGTTTTTGTGTGTGTGTGTGTGGACACAATACATTTACTTCTGGTCAAGAGTTCATAAGCAGAGTTGAAGCAAAGAGGTATCCTGCAGGTGCAGCCCTTCCTTATGCACAGTGTACAGCTCTTGAGTCTGCTCTCTAGAATTTTTTTAAATTTCTTTTCATACCAGTATTGATTTTTTATAGGACCACATGCATCTGAAAATGCTGAGGGGCACAAGTTTATTTTACAAAGTAACCCCTTGAGCTTTAAAGAAATGGCTTATATATCTGAAGATGTAAAACATGCATTTACAATGACAGAATAATTACTCAGCTTAATGCTGGTAATTTAAAAATCCTGTTTACATTTCTTAAAAGGCAAACCTGTGTCTTTATTTCTGATTTGCTCCTTTCCCTCAAGAATGGGTTTCAGAAATGTTGGGTGACTGCCATCAAACCACAGGCAGCTCTTTGGTTTGCGCTGGATTTTGGATGATGGTCAAAGCTCACTGAAAAATAAGTGTTATTTCTTTTCCTGTGCCTAGCATTTAACGGGAAATCGGGAGGCTTCATTTCCAATTACTTGTTAAGCCAATCCAGATGTGAGCTGAACAGGAGGTCGAGGAGAGGAACAAGCTAGGTTAGGCAATGTCTGAAAGCTAGACTTGAAGATGGGCTGATAAAACACAGCTACAAAGTGACCTGATATGATTCCAAGAGAGAAAAAAATAAGA